TTTTTTTTTTTTTTTTAACACCTTAACTCACTACTTCCTCATAGCGTGTATGGTGTGCACTAGGGTGTTTAAATAGCAAAATTTTTTCCTTGAGGTTTCAATAATAAGGGTTGGAAAAGATGGTTGCAGCTTTGCAGAAAAGCCGAACTTAGGTGTGCATTTGCATTGTTTTATCGTAGATGTGTTGTCATAGCATGTCACTTCGAGTTTCAATATTCTGACCAAATAATTTCATCTGAATGATCATGAATACGATGGTATGCATGCTCTTCAAAACAACAATGAACTTAATAGTGTATGCTCAGATACATTAATATTAGTAATTGTTAAGCATAGGTGCAACACCAAAATTTGTTATTAGGTAGACAAATGTAAAAAAATCTTCTTTATTGGGGAATTTGAGATATGCAGAGGGCTAATTAAAAGGTGAAATCAGTATTCGTACATTGATATTTGAACATAAATAAACTTTATTACCAAATTCATTGCAATTTCTATTTGCATTCCCACAAAATTTCTCTTTCCAAACACGTAAAGTTTTGGTAAAAAATATGCATTGATGTCATGCTTGAGGATGTATAATATATTACCAGTGTTCTAAAAGTCGCTAGGCGCTCGACCAGCAGTGCCTAGGTGGGGCCTAGACAACGTCTATTCGGAGCCTAGAAATCAATATTAATTACCTTATTTTTTTTATTTTTTTTAACTATCTACAATATAAAATTATCTCAACATATAATAAATCGAAATACATGTTGTTATGTGATTGTTAACAACGATATAACATGTAATTACGTGGATAATTGTGAATGATTTGAACGTAAAGCATGTAAGATTAAATCGACAATGGCCCCGGTCCGAGGTGAACCGAGGTGAAGAGCCGTGATGGGCTTTTACGCGTTGCTTAATAAAGTGTTTACAGTTCGGAGAATTCGGAGAAAGAGAGATCCCCCTACAAATGTCATAGGTCCACTATTTATAGTAATTTCGGGTTGATACATTGGGATCTGTGCATGACTTTTTTGAATAAAGTTACTTTTGTGGGCGGTTTGAGGCAGGGGGTCCCACATAAATGATGACGGATCTCGTGGAGCTGGAGGGTCACACGTAGGCGCCTTGTCACCTACTTAAGGAGGTGACAACCTCGGTTCATGTTGACCTCGGTGGATGTTGACCACTTCGGTCTTCGGTAGTTCGGTCCGGTCTGTCGCCTGAACCGGGGTGGTGTATGTAACAACGTCGGTTTAATGATCATCTTCCTTCTAATGTGTTGTCTAGTATCCCTTATTGCATGTTTACCGATCCGGATGTTAACAGAGAGGCCCCCAACATCGAGGGGCATACGAAGTGATGGTCGTTGATGTTGCTACGTCAGATATGTAGAGACCCTGGATCGGTAAGAAGTCGGCGGTAGGATGTGGTCTATGGTGTTCAGTGGGTCATCTTCGGTTTATCTACCGATGTAACCGAAGTGAATCATCTGTCCGAAG